TGTGTGTGTGTGTGTGTGTGTGTGTGTGTGTGTGTGTGTGTGTGTGTAGGGTGTACAAAAAGTGTTAAAACCTCTTTTATAAAAGCTATGCATTTTACAAAAAAATGTTTTTGACAAAAGTTATAGGGTTGCAAAAGATCTATTTACTGACCTCATCAGTTTGACCTTAGGTTACTTAGGTAGCGTCGTTAAAGTCAAGTCTGAATCACTTTGAATTTTTTAAAATAAACTCTCTATTTTTTGTTGCATGTTCTTGTAACCCTTGTCGAGATCTTTTCAAAACACTATAATAAAGCTCTTTTTCTTTAAGAATTTTCTGAGATATTTCAAATTTTATTATAATATTTTTACTATAAAATATAAAATATCTTATAAAGTGTTCACTTTTTGATAGCTTGACCTTGAAACTTTTACACGTAGAATAATAAAAGAAATTTAATTATAATATTAATTTTACATTTGCAATTTTGTAAAATTGAATGTGTACAAAATGCAATAAAATTTCTTAAAATCATTTTTTCTTTCTTTTTACAACAATTGATTCCTTTCATTATTCTACGTATAAAAGTATCCAGGTAAAGTCATCGAAAAGTGAATACTTTACGAGATATTTCATATTTTATTATATTAAAAATACCTCACAAAATTCTTAACAAAAGATAGCTTTATTATAGTGTTTTGAAAACATCTCGACAAAGGCTACAAAAATACCCAATAAAAAATAGGAAGTCCAATTTAAAAAATTCAAAATAACCCTGACTTGACCTTAACAACGCCACTTAAGGCCAAACTGATAAGGTCAGTAAATAAATCTTTTTAAACCCTACAACTTTCGCCTTAAATGTTTTTCCATATTTTCCATATTTTTCGAGTTTTGAGACACCCTGTATAGTACATTAAAATAGTAAAAATAGATATACATACGTTAATCATTGGTAGTTCTACTGTTAAAAAACAACGCGCGCGTCAAGAATTAATCTTTATATTTATTTCGCAGGTCTCTTACGGATATTGTGGTCTTGTAAAATAGACGAAGATGATTATATTTCACTCAGCACTCTATCACATATTTTACTAAATTATTTGCACGGCTAAGAAAAACCCCGATGATTTTAGGATAATAAAGCTTTGCACTGCAGAGAGGTTTTTATTATTTCTTAAACCGATTCCATCCATACTTATTTCTCTATATTATTTTCTAAACCAAAACAATTCGCGAAAGTTTCTTTTATCTTTTGTATAAGATGTTTTCGTTATTAAATCCTTCCCCCCCCCCCCTCTCCTTTTTTATTCTTCTATTAACAGAAACACATTGTAAATAGATCAAATATCTTTCAATATTTTTCTAACATATTTTTGAATAAACAAAAATCTATAGGTTATTTTATACATTTTATTCTGTTGATAGTATATATTACCTTTTTCGAAAAATGTAAAAAAAGGCGCCAAGTATGCGCAATGTATGTTGTAAATCCAAAAATCCAACCTAAGTGGTAGTAGCTTTAATTGTCATAAATGCGTAAAACATGAACCTCAATCTAAACGTTGGACTACGAAAATTGAATGATTAGAAATAGAGTGACACGACTTAATAATAATCAAGATTTAATTTAACCATACGTTATTTGTCATATTATACATAATACATACACAGCTTGTTATAAATGCCTTGCCACTTGAAGATAGTTCGCATCCGAGTCAAAAATAGCTGTTATTAGCTATTATTTGTGTATGCACATATACATACAATATTTAGAAGAAATTCACGTGTTTCTCTCCAACCTTCATCAAACGACTGTTTCGAATATTTTCCTTGGCGTAGTCAATACATGTCACATTTAGTAAGACATTCTCCGTGATATAGTGCGGATATAATGGCAGCTCAATAAATACATTATACAATTAATAACATTTGCGACGTTTGCAGTAAATTACACAATGGTATAAATTGCAATTTTTGTGATAAACTTTTTCAGTATAAAAATTCACTATATTTAGAAGCACACTTGTTCCATATACATAAAATATTTACCACGGAAGGCAACTTTATATGGAAAGACGAATCCAGCTCGCCATACCAATATTTTACACATGAATGTAAGTACATTGCAAAGTGCACAATTTGTCCATCCAAAAGAGTGACTTGCTGAAGCATCTGGAAATACATTCGCGTGTAAAATATCGGTATGGCGAGCTGATTTCGTCGTTTGATGAAGGTTGGATATTGTAACAGTATAATTATATTCCCCTCAACATCGACGCGATCCGACTCGTCGGGAGTTCTTTTGGCGTATATATGATATTGTCATTCTGTATAAATATGTTATGTTGATGCTTAGAGTGACTCAGGCGAACAGGAAACGTATTATTTCGAAAATCTTAAAGACTTCGTACGAGCTGTGAATTTTAATTAAATATTGTTCTCGTTCATTCAAGCGCCTGTGTTACTTACAAATCCCAGCATTTAACGCTTACGGGACGCTCCATCTTCACGGGGCATAATGTACGTTAATTATTGTTATAATTGTGTGATACTTATGTACAGTGCTTCTTTAGGCTGACTTATGCAAAGTTTATGAGTATACATATTTTAAAACATAAAAATTCTAATTAATTATTACAAATTTTTGTTGAAGCTTTTTAAAATATGTATATATAAGCACAGATAAGCATTTTTATTCGTGCTTGCCGCGGGTTAAAGTACTAGGTGTATTAACTCCCGTCGATAAAAGATTGAGCGAAAAAACATAAGAAACACGATCGGTAAACTGCGGTAAACCGTCTGCACCGTCCGAGGGTCCGAGTGTTGTAATTCACGGTTAATTGCTGTCACAATGCTAACGCAATACCATTGTCCGAATAGGGTTGTAAATCCCTGTACCGTGACGGAAATTGGGAGAGGAATTCCGCAGATCCGCCGAAGCGACTGTGAACGGTCCTGATTTAATGTCATACATTTACAATTCAAAGAATACCGAAATCTCCAGCGTGCCGCGACCACCGTGATGGATCGCGTTGAATTCCACGGATTTATTTGCGGTTATAACGGCGCTGCATTTTCCAAAATTGCTATTATCATAATTCTAGCACCTCTTATCTGCGCTGTAAAAGGTACTGTGCTCGAATTCATTTATCTTGTTTATCAATCTAACCTACTCTAACCTGTGAACTTATAAATTCTACCACGCACATTTATTTTTTTCATTGTTTATTTCATTATTCTTAACAGTCTAGACGAGATTGATCATGATGTAAAGAGTTTAACATTAATTCTCGATAAATAATAACATACTTAATGACTGATATAATATATTTGGGTGAAAAGGAAAATAAATATAAAGTACTTAAATTATTTATCCGAGAATTATAGACTTTTCTATGTATAAAGTTCAGAAGTGATATATTTATTATAATATTTTAATAAAATTTCTTTAGCATAAAACCACATCAATAAAGCTTCATGTTATTGAAAAACTTGCAGATGCTAGATGTTTCATGTCGGAAGAGCTATCTCTCGTGAGTTTCCGTAGTGTAGTGGTTATCACGTGTGCTTCACACGCACAAGGTCCCCGGTTCGATCCCGGGCGGAAACATTTCTTTTTTTTTGCCGTTACAGTTTATTTTTTTTTATCAAAAAATTCATATATTTCTTAATTTAAATTTATTTTTATTATAAAATTATATTTATTGAATCGAATTTGCGTTTTATAAAAAATTTAAATGACATAATTTAGAATAATCACACATTTATATTTTTGATATCTGTAAAATATATAAAACATATATAAAATAAGAAAATTATTAATTTGTAGCCTGAAAGAAAACAATAAATAATATATATATATATATATATATATATATATATATATATACATACATATGTATATATATATTATAAAAATGTGTAAGTACTCATGTTAGCGAAGACAAGCTTAATTGTCAGGATGGCCGAGCGGTCTAAGGCGCCAGACTCAAGGTTCACACCTTCTCGGTTCAAGACCGAGTTTCTCCCGGGCATTCTGGTCCTCTCTGAGGGCGTGGGTTCGAATCCCACTTCTGACATATTCTTTTGCTCGCAAAAACGTCGTGAATGAACAACGTAATAATAGATAATCAAATAAATTGTTTACGAGTTTATTAAAAATTTTGCACTATACCGTCTTCCATCTATGAACGTATTGTGTGTGGTACGAAAGAACTTTCCATGAAATTTATGGCAAATATAATTTATTTTTGTATATATTTTGTCGGAAATGTTACGATATTTATTTGTGCGTATCTTGAATTAAATAAATTTAACGTGTGCACTTGAGTGTGTGCTCTGTATAAGCATTATTAAGAGACTCCTCATCAATTGTCAGGATGGCCGAGCGGTCTAAGGCGCCAGACTCAAGGTTCACCACCTTCTCGGTTCGAGACCGAGTTCGGGGCTTTCTGGTCCTCTCTGAGGGCGTGGGTTCGAATCCCACTTCTGACAAACTTTTTTGCTCATTGTCATAAGTTTTGCAATTGTCGGTTTTATTTTTTTATCTCTGTAATCAATAAATACAATGCCCGAAGCACCGAGTTTACCGCAAAGTGAGCATTATTCGAGCGTCGACGGTTCGAATCTCAGTACGGACAATATTTTTTTACTCTTTTAAAAATGATTTTTCTTTTAATTATTTGTGTGCTGTTATGTGCAGTATAATAACTATTATTATTATTATTATTAATGCTACTTATTTTACTGGATATAAAATATAAAAATAATAATTTTCTATTCATGACTAAGTGTTTGTAAGAGGTCTTTTGTAGTTTTGCTGTGAGGTATTATTACAGTTAGCTGACGATATTATTTAAAATATGTAAATATATTATAAAAAATATCAACGATATATAAGTTTATTCCACTTAATGTGCGATAGTCAACCATTTCTGCTGTATTTAAAAGATGACTCTCGTAATCCGGTATGGTCTAGTGGCTAGGATACCTGGCTCTCACCCAGGAGGCTCGGGTTCGATTCCCGGTACCGGAATTTATATTTTTTTTTGTTCTAGACATAAATTTTTTTAAATACACGTTCTAACTGTAATCGTGCTCTAGTTAAAATTTAACTTTGCAACTGTATAATAGCAAATTATAATTAAAGCAAATGTATCAGAAAATATATAAAACTAAATGTATAAAAGAAAATGACGAAATAAAATCAAATGTATAAAAGTAAATTATAATTTACAAGATTAATACAACTATATGATGGGTTAACTGTTTTAGTATAAAAATCTCTCAACGATTCTTTTTTGCTGTCCACATCACTAACAAGTCACGGTGTTGTTATACAATCGCGAAATGACTGACAGTATACTGCAGTCTGATAATACAACTGCTCGAATCGTTTCACGGTAAAACACACATTGTTAAATTTGCAGCCGAGTCGGTTATTTCGTTAAGTGGAAAACGACAGACGATTTTAGTATAGACGCTTGCGAATGTGCGGTTTGATAAATTGTTTTTGTATTAGCCTCTTATATCGCAGTGAAGTACAAGACGCTTAGGAACGAAACGAATCGCAGGATTGCAGCGGCATTGCAATTACCGCCATTTTCTTAAATTATTAGCGAGGTGGAAGACGTTGCCGCAACGAGCGAGTGTCTATAATTCGTGGAAAAAAACGACGACATTACAATCTGCGCCCCGTTTATCATGGGCAATCTTCTCCAACGCAGCGAGGGGGAGTACGGATTCAAACGACCCTCGACAACGAGTACTTTAATACATGTATACGTCGCTCGAGGAAACGCACCCACGCGACATAGGTGACCTCCCATGCCCTGCGCGCAGCGTGTCCGGTGTCCCTTACCGTCGTCGTCGTCGTCACGAAACGGAGTAGCAGGGATGACACGAGAACGGGGTGACAGCCGTTTGGAACAGTTCCGAAAGTTGAGCGCTCTGCATCTCACTTATTTAAAGTGAGAACTGCTGGTAGATCTTATCGCGCGTGGGCGTGACTCGATCGTTTATCACGGTTTATCTCAGAAGATCGTATTGGTCTCGTTTACATCTTAATTGTGTGCTCGTATATGCGCGCCGTTTGCGCGATCCCCGAACCAAGTTCAAATTTTCTCTCTTTTCATATAACTTATATTATATTCTCTTATAACGATTTTTTTTTTCACGCAGGTACGTTGGCTTATGGGCTCCCGACTCGAATTCGCCCGCGATCTTGAGGTACTCGTACCACGTGTACAACAAATCTATCCTGGCGATCATACTCATCTTCATGATGACTCTGTTCGCTGACATTTGCTCGAGTTTCGACGACCTGTCGATCGTCACGGATGACGGGTGCATCTTCGCCGGGATCGTCGTCGTGTTCTTCAAGGTGATGATCTTCCAAACTCGCCATGAGCAGATCGTACGATTGCTCCGCAAGACCATCGACAGCTGCGATCGACTCTGCAAGTTTCCCAGTGAGTGAAATTATCGGTAATTCGGTATTTAGATGCGGGAATTATTGAGTAAAATCAGAATATCGTTCAGAATTTCGCGTAATTTTATTATTGGCGATATTTCCTTTATATTTATCTAACGAGACGTGTCTATGTTACGATCTGTAGCCGTTCTTAAGCGAATATTGAATTGTTACAATCCGCAGAAGAGTGAAATGTCATGTAAATGGCTTTAGTGCTAAGTCACATAAATATATCCTCTGTTAAGCAAACACGATGACAGGACGGCGCGTAATTTTACGTTTTAATGAGATCCGCACGTCGAAGGGGACCCTGCGAAAGGGCCATCGTGGCTCGTCGACTTCTCCGTTAATTCAGGACCACTCGAGGAATTTTTCTCGCCGGCCTCTGCCAGTCCTTCTCGCGACGTATCCCCTTGACACGCGATTAAGGATCTACGCGACTCATTCACGCAGAATTACTCGGCAGTTTGCATAATCACGCCTGATACACGCAACTCCGCGACACGTGACGTTTCTTTGAAATCGCATATCAAGTTTCACTAATTCTAATATCACGTTGCGAGGGCCGTAAGGCGTAGAGTATATCCCAGCGATATATTGACTATGAAAACGATTGTACTTTCCCCTCGAATCTCTGTCTCCCAGTCTGAAGCTTTTCACGCGTCTGCTCGTAACTGCCAGACGCGATTATAGTCGACCGACACCCCGAGTTTTAATTATCCATTTTAATTTTAGTTGGCGGCGAAGACGAAGTCCTGGACAAATATCTGCTGCTCTGCCGCGTGACCTTCTACGGGTTCAGCATTCTGGCTTTCTTCCTCGTGATCGCTCTACTGTTTCTAGTGCCCGTGGAGAACGGAGAGCTGCCGGTCAGGGCGCGGTACCCCTTCGACACGACCGTCTACCCGTGGCACGGGATCGGCTTTTTCGTCGAGGCCTGCACCGTCACTATCGGCGTGACCGCCATTATCGGGATAGACAGCTTGATCACCAATCTGTGCGTTTTGTTTCTCGTGCAGCTGGAGATCTTGAACGCGCATTTTAAGAGCTGCGGCAGCGACGAGACGTTAGATGGTGTCGATAAGCGAGATAATTCAGATGCCACCGGTGGAAACGCTTGTTTCGCGGGAGTATCTTCCGCGGCCAACTGCGAAAAGGATAATTACGATCTGGACGCGATTCGCCACGGCTTCACCGAGCGGTTCGGACGATCCATCCGCAATCATCAACGTCTGCTCTTCGTAGTAGACGACTTCAACAAGATCTTCAGCGTCGCCATGTTCGTTCAGATGCTCTCGAGCACCACGATGATTTGCCTAACCGGCTTCCAAGCCGCCTTGGTGAGTCGTGATAAGTCAAAGTGCCAAGTCGCGGCCAGATCGTGATCAGAGCCTCGCTTTTGTTTCGAGCAGGTCATAGGCCAGAGCTCCAACACTTATAAGTTTGCGATATACCTGATGGCGGCTGTTTCGCAGCTCTTCTATTTCTGTTGGATAGGAAACGAAGTGATATATCAGGTGCGATTATGCCTGTACTTTTTTTAACTCTAATATCACTTTTTTATTAGTAATTTATCGCTATTTGAAATTGTGCGACATGATTTTTTTATCATTTAGTAATTCGCAATCCCGAAATAATATATATATCGATGCGTTACAATATTGAAGATAAAAAGTAATACGAAATTTATTTTTACTTTTACTATTGACCTATAAATACACGTTAATATAACAAATCAATCAATAAAGCCACGATCAACGAAAAGTTAGAAAGTCGATAAAATTAAGTTAGGTACATCTTAATAAACTTACAATTTCTACGGAATTACAACCGGTAATTAACACGATATTAATTTTGATTTGTAATATGTATAATTAAGGTCTATAATTATGTTTCCATATGCATATATAAATAATATGTATAATTAATAACTTTCACGTCACGTTGAATTTACAATTTTCCAGAGCGCGTCGTTGACGCAAAGCCAATGGCTCTCGAAATGGGATGACGTGCTTTCTGTCAAGACTGGACGTTTGCTAATGCTGTCTATGATATTTTCAAAAAAAGCGATAAACCTGAAAGCAGGTGTGTTCTACGTCTTATCCATGGAGACGTACACCGCGGTGAGTACATTTTCAAAAATGCAACGACGACCTTTCGTTTCTCAGACCGGTTGAGTGTCTACTTCTGGTACGCGAAGTGAAAAAATGTCGAGTGAGATCGCAGCAATTATACGAAATTATACGAAATTAAAGTCATCGGACAGCCGCTCGACGAGAAAGATTGAATTTATAGAGACCGAAGCGTATTTTTCGTGCGATCTCGCGAACTTTCCAGCGAGGAACGAACTCGGCGAGACATTTTGGCAAAAGAATATGATTCACACGAGTTAGAGAAACTGCATTTCACCGAAGCTTAATCATCTTAAATATTGTTGTTAACTTTAAATATTGTGCGGTACTCTTTTCGCTGTTGCCCCGTACGCGTGCCGATTCCGCTTCTCTTCACCCGCGGCGAACTGACGTAATAATCGTAAGCACATCGAGACGAAAGAATGGAACGCCGGATGTGAATGGTACTCCATAAGAGTCCAGAAAGAACACGAAGAGCAAAACGCATCTCTAGCACGTGCAGGCTGCAGAGAGGCGAATCGTGTTCTCCGCCCATCCTTCGTGAATAACCGCGTATTAAATCGATGGTCGCGCAATTGTCTGATGCAACAGAATGCCTAGAGACACTGTCCAAGTACGAGGTCTTAATGGTCAAGCACTGGTTCGTGTATCCGAAGATTTTGTCGTGTATACAGATTTACCGAAGATTTATCGAAGTAAAAATAACTTGAATTTGGAGTTGAATTTTTTGACTTATTGCTGCACGTATTGACTAAATTTTCCACGCTTTTTTCGGCGTACCCGAGTTACGTCGTTTATCACTCGCGATTGCATCACGGAAGATCGATCGATGGTTTATTGATGTCATTGTGGATTTTTTCGTAGATCCTGAAAGGCTCGTACTCCTTCTTCGCTCTGTTGAACACTATGCACTCAGAAGACGAGCAGTGAATCCGACAACCCTTCGGCTTTAGTTACCGTAGAAGGTCTGTGGTCGAGTTATTTCGTTGCGAAGCGTATTGGAGCGATGCGATTGAAAAGCAGCTGTAACACGTGCGTCAGCGATCCAGAACGAAACGCATGCCATTATTGCTATGAGGACTGAGGTTTACATAAAGTGTATCGCGAGTGAGTTGTTGAACTTTGCCGAATAAAATTGTTGAAATATAAAAGAGAACGGATATTTCGTAAGAATTAGAAACGCCGAATTATTTTACAATTTTATATTAAGACTTAATTAGAATTGTATTACAGTAAACTACTTAGAACCATCAGGGTTTCCATCGAAACTGATGAAAATAATTAAGCAGAAATCGATAACAGCAGTTTGGTAGTTGGTCACGATCAGCTTATCGAAATAATATCGTCGAGGTGGAATATGGTAATTCCCAAATTTATAAAGCGATAATACGATAAGTTACGAAAAAGCGGCGCAGAATTCTTTGTAATTTACTGTCACTTGGGCAGAGCAAATTGGCGAATGTCGGTTATCGCGGAAATCGCGGAATATCTTGATTCGCCGGTTGGTGAGTAGCTCAGTACTAGAATCACCGTAAGAACGTGTCCATGGAACAGGTTGGGAACGACTTTTACGATTATGGGTCCGCCGAAAACAGGATTCCTATTCCCGGACCGATGCAAACAGGCTGCAACGGCAACGACCTGGCGAACCAATTGCAATCGTGGCCGCCGCTGGCTGCCATATCGGCGTGAAATATCAGATTGATCGCGATCAAGAGATCCGTACGGTATAATTCGGGGTGCAAATCGATCGCCAGGTGTACGTCACACGCATAAATAGATAGGAAGGAAGCGTCCGCGGGCATTTTTTTCTACGATCCGATTATCTCGCGGATTATCGGCAAATTACAAATATTATTGAGATGTTTTTTAAAAGATACACGTTTGTTACTTATCTTTTATCTTTGTTCTCTGTAAGAAACTATTTGAACGAGCAGAACTAGTGACTGTTCCTTTGTTCAGAGAAGTGTTTAATGAAAGAAACGAATCGCGTATAAATGCGCAACAGTACGGATTTTCGATCTAATTCAAGCGTCCTCTTCTTTTTTCTTGGACACTTGATAATGATAGATTGTCCAAGTCTCTAAAGTTTTCCGACACACAGATTTCGCATAATTTACACACTCCGCGTTTATCGGTTCGCGGGGACAAAAATCGGAAGTGATATTGGCTTTCCTATGATCCCGTGATCCCGTTAGCCAATTTATCTCGCTGCGTTTTCCCAAAGTAGACCTTATATTTTCAATCGACCATCAATCGAGTGCCTCGCAAGTGCACGTCGTAAAGTATTAATAAGCGGCGATAGAGGATAATTCGCCGGACTAAAAGATTCCGACATAATCGCATGTACGAGATCGTTGATGTACGCTCGCCGTGATATTAGATTCTTAATTAACTTCATTAGACCCGCTCGTACTCGGCGCGCGCGCGTAATTAATCGTCGATCGCCCTTAATTAAGTATTCGTGGTAGCCGATCGCAACGTCGCGTTCCTACGTCTCATCGATAAATACCGGTGTTGATAACTCAAGGAAATCGTGCGGAGGTTTCCGAAGATACGACCGCCTTATTCTTGTAAATAAGGTTGCACGCGGACGGTATCGGGCGAGTAGATCGGCACGACGGTCGCGCGAAGCGCGAGGTTGGCGAAATTCCGAAAATCCAGTTTTCATCTCTACGATCTTAACGTACAAGGTTCAAGGTTGTAATTTAACTTTTCAGAGTACCGGATATTTGTTTAAAAATATATATCTATTGATATTTAAATAGATAAAGATTGCAATTGTAAATTAATTGTAAATTACTTCTACACAACTGCATGATGATTAAGATATAAGATTCAAAAGTATCTTCTCAATATCGTCGAATGGACTAGAATCTCAAGACAGACATTCGATTGCTTTGCTTCACTGGAACCTAACGTGAGGCTAAGTATTTCCATTGCATGTAATTTTCCGACACATTAGCGAATTGCTGCCACACGCTCGTTTGCGGTATTCTTTGCTTTTGATTCCGTCTCGATCTCGCGAATTTATCTCCGAGCTATCGTTATTTATTGATTCGGTAGCGGTATTGCTAAAAATTAAGGTACAGAAAACCAACTCTCCTTTACCACGCTCGTCAATATCGCCTCGCAGCAGCAAATTAAATGCGATAGCCAGCGGCGATTCCGACGTAGGCAATTAGCGAGCCTGATTATCATCTGCTTCCGATCGGGCGGGGTTCTCGCGAAAGCTCTCGCGAGTTCGTAGCTCGAAGGTGGCCCGCGGGTAATCCACGGGGTACGCGGAGCGATTATTATGAATGCAACGGAAAGAGAGAGACCCATGGTGCCCCGGAGGAAAACTGGTCGCGACGCATTTTTCTCGACGCGCTTGAAAAGCCGCGATGCACAACACGTTCTCGGGATCAGAAGTCAATCAGCGTGCGGGTTTGCTAGCATCTTCCGTTTCGCGGACATTTGTTACGAAATCTTTTTCGTGTGGTGCATCGCGTGATTATAGCTCGTATGTACATACAAGCGGAATTCATCGCCCGGCGAGCGGCCATCCTCTTGTATCGCATAATGCGTAATTGAAATTTTTTTTCAACCCTTGCGCGTTCGGAACCGGTATACACGATATATTATCGTTTTGCTTATATAAACGACTAAATTAATAACACATTTTTTCTCATTTTTTCTCAAGAGATGCAGTAGCACGTAATATATATATATATATTTTGTATAATATAAAAATATATATATATTTGATCGACATGAGTTATACTACTGTGTCTTTTGATGCGTGACGTTGCTCGCTATGTTTTAATTATAAATAATAAATTATTAAAGAGCTTATAAATTTGGTAAATTTATAATGTTAGGGATAATTGGCAAGCAATTAATTTACGGTTTTGCTACTTCAATAAGAAAATATACATATGTAAACCTAAATATCCGTCATTTGTAAAAGTTCTGGGTGTTTCATAAAGACTTCCAGACTTCTTGTTGTGTTTCCAAAAAAATTCGGGATTAATATTCAAACCGATAAAAGCAGAAATAAGAAATTTTAGAATAGGTACCTTTTAGTTTATATCTATATAAAAAATTGTAATTTGTAAAAACTTGACATTAAGTTGGGAACATAAAAAGTGAATACACGAATTGCAGACTCGAATGAAGTAACCGAAAGACATAGTATATTTTAAGGCGTACGATAATTGCCTATTGTATGTACACAATATCGAATTTTAATTGCGTATTTTTGGTTGGCGAACACTGCACGTTCGTATTATTCATCTTGACTCGCATGGTAGACCAAAATCGCGATACTGGATCAAAATTATACCAGCATCTCCGAATATTTTGTCCCCATTAACGACGGTGGATATGAAACGGATTAGCTCTGAGGCCTCTGGGGCGAGTGACGTCGCGACTCGTTTAATTGGTAAGCAAAATCTATGTTAATCCTGTATTTATTTCTTATATAATAACATCCAACTATCGTGTAATATAGATTCAGCGTTTGCAAATTGACGATCTATTAGAACATGTATTTCATAAGATTCATTCAGCCGAAGGTATATTGCGTGAACGATCGACAAAGCGACGATCATTTTAAGATATTACAAGTATATAGGTATATCTATCTAGAATATTAACATGTTTATTCTGGCATTAGAATGCAAACTAATAATCGTCATAAAAGACAAGTGTATATTAGTTGCTCAAAATGCGCGCGTAGCGAGTATAGTGACGTCGCGTCACCCTTAGCGCGTGAAGTTGGCCGCGCGGGAGACGAAGCGCCTCCGCCATCTTGATTCTCACTTTCAGAACGCGACGGGCACGGGACGTATCGGCTCCGGGACGCGAATGGTACGTCGCATCTCGATTAATTGGTAATCAACCCTTATATTTGCATTTATCATTGACTACAATATTTAATATATAGGACTTCGTATATTGATGATCTATTGAAACGCGTATTAAAACGCGATACTTTGTTCGGCCGATCCGAAGCGCGTCGCGCAAGTCATCGCCGAGAAAGCGACGAGCATATTTTCGGATGTTGCAAATACCGCGGATATCTATTTAGAATATCAATACGCATCATATTCGAATCCGAAACAATAATCGTCATAAAAGCCAAACGTGTAGTATTTGTAAGGGCCAAAGCCAAAGATTGTCGTAACCGTTTACGATTTTATCGTAATGTCGTAAGTTGGTGTCGAAAGTCAACGCACAAGGATTGACGTTAGCATATCGTATCCGTCGCACGATGCGATGCGATGGATACCACATACGCCAACATCAATCCTTGTGCGTAGGCCTTTACTCGAAATACGGAAAATGCATAAACACGAAGTTAAGAGCGGAACGCGTAGCGAGTAGCGACGCCGCGTCACCCTTGGCGCGTGAAGTTGGCCGCGCGGGGAACGAAGCGTCTCCGCCATCTTAATTCTCATTTCATTTTCAGCACGCGACAGACACGGGACGGATCGGCTTCGCCGAGACGAATGACGTCGCATCTCGATTGATTGGTAGGCGTAACATATTAACCTTGCATTTATTATTTATTGCAATGTCTATATCTCGTGATGTAGATTCGTACATTGATAAGTCGAACGCGCTTTTCGTAACACTTGTTCGGCCGAAGATCTATCGTGTGAATCAATCTAGCGACGCCGCGTCGCTCTTGGCGTGCGAAGTTAATCGAGCAAGAAACCGTCATATCTTATGCCCGTTCTAGACTGGAGGATGAGCCGACTCTCGGCTCATCCGAGTGAGTGGTGTAGACGGGAAAAAATCTATAGTTTATGTATAGTTTATGTCACGTACACTATAGAAGGCGGATGAGCCGAGAGTCGGCTCATCCTCCAGTCTAGAACGGGCATTATAGGTGCGTTTCATTGCATTTTTATTTTTGAAGTATCGTGGATATCGAATGTGCTACAATTTCGTTCACTTCTGTTTCTCTGTTGTCGTAAGTCGTAACATGATTAAGTATGCGTCGCGTGTAATTAATATCGTACAGAGTACGACAGCCGTGCGATCCTTGTATTATAGTAATTAATTGTAATCGCGTTTAATTGTATTTTTTAAATTAAATTTTATACATGTTGATATCGAAAAAAGCATTTTTATTAAGACATTTTTTTTTTATTAAATATTTTTGTTGGTATTACAAATAAATACAAATTATTACAAATAAAATGATACTTCCGTGCAAAAATTATCTTTCCATATTTATTTTAGTTATTTTTAATTGGATATATTTTTGTGTTACAGATCAGTGTTGTATAACTTCGCTTTTGCGCAATATACCTACGATACGAGAGAGTGCATCTTAAAAAAAAATTCTGACAACCTAGGACAAAGTGGAGAAAGAAACTTGTCAAGAGCGAAGGAAGTTTAGGAGAGACATCGGGCATCGGTGGAGCAACTTTGCGGTAAGTACCATTGCTTACTTGCGTAAGATTAGTCCGTTTTTTCCTATTTATTCGGATCTTTTTATTTCGATGATTAAAAATAACAATTAGAGAAAAATAATTAATCTAAAACTTTATAAAAATCCCTGTAAGGATCTTTTTTAAAAAATGCATAATTATTTTAATTGCAGATATTTAACTGAAAAGCGATTTAAAAAAATCTATGTGTGTTAGAATGATCTTATAGACTCATTGATTTAGAACGTTACTTTAATTGGTATCTTATGTTTGTATGTTACAGAATCGACGTAGCTACGTGGCTGATAACTCCACTGTTGAGCATCGATCGGTGAGTGACAAAAAGCTTTATTAATGAGATAACTTTGTTTAATCAATTAGGAGCATAAGGTATAGCAAAATTGGCCTTATTTTTGTGTCCGGATAATTTTAATTTTATTATTAAGATACTCTAAACATAATATATTTCTTGGAAAGACTTTTGATTAATTGTAATAGCATTACATATGCATTGTTGGAATTCGCATAGACACAGATGTTGTGTATGGATTTCAATGCAGCCGCGCGATATTTATTCTGCGAAAACATAAAAGATTCAAGCTGTATACAATGTCGGCCAATTAACTCGAACGATGACATTGATATATTGACGCAAGCGTCTGCTAAGTTGTTTCAGACATTGCCCATTCAGTACGTTCAATGTAATAAACATTCTGGTTAACATTTTCGTGCTACTGTGTGTAATTAAAATGTAAATCGTCGGCGCGAAAACGCAACTCATTCTTCTCATTACTTACCAGCAATTCAATACTACAATTATAAAATATATAGGTATTAATTAAATGATTAGTTAGCGTCAATAAATGATGTCGACGAATGAAGGAGAATACAGACTCGAATGCAAAGGAAAACGAGGTATTTCACATCTGGAAACACGTTGACTTTGATTTACGAAGTATCAAGCGCACATGGTATTCTGAATTAGTCTTAAATTAACATTAATTCTAATAAATGCATCTGTGCCCAAGCACTGATAATAATTTCAGAAAATTGCACAGTACAAATAGGTCGATAATTAAATAAAATTATTATAAATTACAGAATGATCAGAATATTTCGAAGGTAGCTTTGATAGAAATCGCTTTCTCTCTAGCAACTTATTTATCGAAATCACTCTTCGCAATCATTATATTTCCAAAATTAAATGTCTAGTCAACGCAACCTCAAATTAAAATTTGTTTAAAATCCGTTAATATACGCGTAATTAAAAAAACTATCGTATCGTTAGACATCTTACATATCTCTGGTTTCAAAAACTTGATCGATCACTCGTCCCAAGTTTTAAGACCCCAACATTCATCTCGGTCGTTACTCGATGGATTTCACCTACAATTTAGAGCCTCCGCACAAGAACTGTCGTATCGTCTCCATCAACATAAATTTCGGTCAACGCACAAAAAATCTGTATCCGAACGGATCGAGATGACGCCATGACGCTTATCTTGTGGATATAGATTTCTTGTGCGTTGACCGAAGTTTATGTTTATGGCCGATACGACAGTTCTTGTGCGGAGGCTCTCAAACACTTTACGTAGCGGACATATAACACCGCGGCACCGGCGGTATTCCGTCAATCACCGCGCGACGGCGACGTCTCGACATTGCGAGCGTGGCGTACGAGGGGGACGCGCGCCTTCACAACAAAATCGAGCTAGTCACGCGTAAATGGCCTATCTCGTCTCGCACAGGGAGGAAAGGAGCGCGAGTCGAGGCGAGATGTGTCGTTGTTCCTCCTCTCTCGGCCCTCCCGCAACTCCCGCCGCGTTCGCTTCCTAGACAGATGGTCACTTCGCCACATGTTACCTAACTGTAGCCTGTCTTTAAGTACCATTCCTCCCGGTGGTATATCGAATACTTCTTGCGGGAGATCATTGTGTAGCATCCTCCGGCTAACGTTGCACGATTCCCGCGCTCTACGTTCGCGTCAAGTTGTACGCTAACGCGGTGGAAAACGCGATCATTCGAGACCGTTTCCGGTATAGAGTCTCAGAGATGCACGAGAAGGATGACACTCGTGATACATTTTAAATAAATTAATGTAACTTTTTATTATACTCTTTTTTAAGTACGATATTTATCTGCATGAGATACTTTTTGTTTCCGAGTGAGACGTTCGTCAATAATGTCAAGAGTTCATTTAAATTTGAGATCAATTTTTAGCGAGAATATTTGAGAATATATATCAGAATCGCGCGCGATTTCCTAAGAAACTAAAATAAAATCGATATAAATTTTGAGAAGCTATCGCGAGATTAATAATATTTGTGTATATATAAGTATCTATATTTGCATTCGTTAACACGAAACATCACCAATGCGCGACGATTCGAGCAGCATCGCGACGGATTTAATCAGTAAACAGAATCGTGATTAGCGGGTTAGCCGTGCACTTTAATATCCATCAGTCGCGAAGTACAAATTCGGCGTACATCGGTAATTCACCGAAATGCGAATTTCGTGAAATTCACTGAAATCTATCCGCGTGAGCAATTGGCAAAGCTATGATTACTTTTCCAGATATTGCGCTGGTATCTGTCTTTAATTCTAGCTCGCTCGTTCGGTCACTTGTGTCACGACACGAGATATTAATCGTACCTGAAATCTCTGTATCGTTTTCCATTCGCGCGGAAAATGTGCGAAAATACATTTGGGAGTAACTGATGCCGTGTATACCTATTGTTGTTGCGTAGTGGGCGGCGCGTGGCGCGGCGCGGACGGTGCGATGATATCCTCGAATTCCCGTCGCTTTACTCCAGTCGCAAACATGTCGCGCCCGTTGAATCGCTACTATGCGTTTTTAGCATTGTTTCTTCCTTAACAAAGTATACGCGTCGCGATTGCTATCGGGAGTGCCGTATGATGTATCGCGCGATCGTCGTATGCTGTTGATTAGTGAACGTTTAATTAGATCGCGATCCAGTCTTTCCTCTCGCGAGTGTACTTACGTCGCGTCGATCGCGTCATCCCGCAGGCAACTCATGGACCGGAGCTCATCACAATGCAGACACGTACATCTACATGTTATACATATATCCATTAACATTTTGTGAGTGTTACTACAGTGAACATTGTGAAATATAGTAAATAATTGAAGTAAAAGAGATAAGACGAAAAATCAGAATAGATGGAAGTTTGGAGATTATGTGTTAACAAGTTTTATTGAATCGAAAAGTTTAAAAGAACAAAGTTTGAAAGAAGAAGAAGTGAAGTAAAGTAAAATAAAGGAAAAGCTGCGTTTACATGAAGAAACAGCAACGGTGGGACCAGAGAGGAAGAGGAGGACCGAGGAGGCCTAGGAGGCGTCGGGCGACGGCGGAGCAATCGTTGGGTGAGTGTTTTATTGTTTATTTATTATTCTTGTAATTGAATTACGATCGTTTATTATCGCGAATAAATGCATTCCGATCGCGTTCCGTGCGTCATTTTATGTCACTGCATGATGTAGGATAAATTATTCTTGATTTTGTTGTTTCAAGCCATTTAAGTTATTCAAAATATTTAAGAAAATATTTATAACATTAATTAGTATACATGTAACATTTTCTCACCATGTCTCATCGGTTAATTAAAACATCGGATAATTAAACGGTGCACTTCCGGGCTTCGACTGTTAAGGAGCTTTGTTTTTTTTAACGTAACAAATCTTAGAGAACAAATTTCCTCGCACTTGTACATTTTGGCACAAAACGCAAGAACAGTCGTTAGGAATTTTTTCATACATTTATTTGAATTATTTGCATAAGAATTAAAGAAATTTATTATCTCGAACTCGATAAAAGTTTTTACCTAGAAAGATCTTTTCAATAATTTCAAGTAATTAATTTATTAAACGTGTATTAAAAGAAAAAATAAAAATTCAATGCGCGTAATAATTATTTTTCAAAATTTAATTATTTCAAGCATCGTTATAATTTCGCTGCATTTGCGTTTTACAGATTAACGTCGTGTTACAACTCCGCTGCTGCGCTACTGTGTCTGGTGAGTGCTGCATTATTTTAATTTAAATTTAAAGTAATGGATCTATGGAAGTATATTACAGATACACATGTCTACAACCTCGATCCATTGCCTTAAAATAAATGATAGATAGATTAGTGTATGAAATTGATTAGACAAACTCGTGAGCGCGAGTAAAAGGTGATATAGTAGGAAATATTTTCTAGATAAATTAAGTTCAGTAAAAAGTTACAAGCGATTCTCACGAAATAATCGAAGTTAAATGGTTTTAGACGAGGATAAAACATCTTACAATGACAAGTAAATACCATCAGGAAATGTGTGCTGGAATAGAATTTCTCGCGAACATGAATCCATCATTTCAACCATCCAAGTATCGTTTTACGCGAAGATTCTAATACGAAGTCTGTAATATATTTACTTTATACTTTCTCCAATTTCATCATACCTCCTCGCTCGATATACACGTTACATACATTCGTCCCAGTAATTACAACGAGTATGAGTTTTACAATTCATTTAATGATTTAAAGTCGCGTTAATATCAGGAAGACGCTCGTACTTTTTCCATTTCCGCGCCCATTAACGGAGTGTTGTATAAGAGATATACTGTACGTAAGCTGCGGTGAAATAAGTGACAAAACGATATCGTTACAAGCATCTCGAGACCCGTTTTTACACGTTAATCACGTGTGATAATTACTGCACATGTGTTGCAAACGCGTTCAGCACGAATAGCATTAACGGGACATTTGTAAAACCGCGAGACGTCATACTTATAGTCGAAATCTTAACAACGGTTAATGACGATTTATCGGAGGACAGGCACACACCGCCGACTCACGAATTAAAATCTCGCGTGCGTGAATGCGCACGGGTGGGCACTTTTTCACTTATCTCGCACATTTCATCCAACTGAGACATAAATCCGACGTTGAATCGTCGGATATTCGTACTGCCGCGTTCTTCTAAGTGGTTCACTCGAGAAATATGGCCGGTACTCCCTTTTTATATGCCCCCGTAGGCCGGCCACATCCTTCTTCGTTCGCCTCTGCATTTCCGTCGTGTCCTCTGCTCGAGCGCGATTTGCACGCGCGATTCCGCAGGTTGATCCCCGAAAACGTATCGTGGAACGATGTGTCGTGCAGCGTGCTTTATTGAAAGGAAAATTTACAATGCGAGGTGTTCGGTAATTGGACTATCGGCACGGCTAACACGGGTAGTTAGCACATAATATGGAGCAACGCCAAACGAGTCACGATAATATCATCTTGCGACGCGAAGCCAGAGATTTAATAAAGATACAACAGGGAGGCGGACAAGCGGACGAGATTAACCGGCGTAATGAATTTTCGGCGACGGTAAACGCGCGCATCCTCCTTCCGCTCCTCTGGTCTCCGTCTCCTCAATCTTGTTTCGAAAATTAACGGTCCGCGCGAAGGGTGGACGACGACGACGAACAAAAGAGAGAGAGAAAAAAAATGAAATGTAAAAAAAAGGTACAAAGAAAGCAGATCGCATCACGTTAACTTGCGTTCCTGCGTACGACGGTGACAAATCGCCGCATCTTCGCACTGTGAGACGCGCATCAGCAAAGAATAACGAGGAAGAAGAGCACCTTGTCGCGTTTTGATGTGGGATATGAATTCGCACTCTCTCGACGTGGAAGAAAAATAAAAAGCGGCGGAGATGACCCGCGCGCGGCGGTGGATTCGTTATATTGTGCATAAATCTCCCAGATTACTCGGGATTTATGGTTGTCTCGCATTCGGTCGCGCTTTGTTGTCGCTTCTTACGCGCTCTTTTTCATCTTCCTCTGACCCCTGAACCTCGCTTCTTTTCATTTGCGTCCGCGAACGTAATAAGTCTTCGTGTCATAGAAGCGTCTTTAAATGACTCGCGACGTCCATTAATTCGTAAAGTACATGCCAGGTGTTAATACCAGTATATTTGTCACGAGTTATGAGATCGAAAATTAAAAATACAAAAACGCAACGTGATCATTGAGCAGTCAGGCGAGCAAGATAGTGCAGTCTTTAAATGTATGGAAAAAATATGCCGTATATATTACTTTGGATTTTCACGGAACGCTTTGGATTTTCATACTTGATTCTTATCGAAATATTGATCGCTTTTAAGTAACTTTCTTGCAATTATTATTATTGTTTTCTTGTGAAAGTTATGCTTACCTTTTTAATTTCTTCAGCGATATCCGTCTTCGATTTGTCGCAGCCTGTTTCGCACATGCACTGAGCCACCGATCGGTCGATCGGGGACAATCGGTGCGACCGTGACTAACTAGGAGAGACCCGCAACGCGAACGGCGTTTTGCGAACCTGATATTTCTCGCGCGGAACCCCACAAATTAAGATACGCCGCGCGTCGCGTCGCGCCGCGGCACGCTCGACAGGCTTGCACCGTTATCTCTCTCGGAAAGCCTGCCCACTAAAGACACGTTCAGCCGCGGCAATGAGCATAAATCGTGGTTGCGACCGATATCGGTTCTTTCCTTTTCTTTTAATTCGCGCTTTCCCTGGCCTCGGGACGCGCGGAGTGCATTATCGCGTTTTGGCAAACGTGCCGAAAATTGTGACCTTAAAATCCGGCCAATAAGCGCACGACATTCGGGTGTTATCAGCGCGTCGAGATTTCACGCGTCTCATTAACTATATATATGTATGCGAAATGAATTTCAGTTGAAGACCAGAGGGGGATAAGTTCCTTAGAAATAAACGGCGCAGCGGTGTAACCATTCGCGCGGTTTATCAAGGTTACCTCAGAAGTGCATTCGCGAAAAGGAGAACTGCCAATTATCCATTAACCCTTCCGGGTGGCCAAGAGGCTGTTTTTGCCCAATATTCGCTCTCTCTACCGGCGAGAACACCTTCCAACCATCTGCATAGCCGGTTAAACGAATGAAAACTGTATATACGTTTAATTGCACACCGGGTGGCCCCGATCGTATGCCTCCGTCGAATATTGACGCGCTTCTGCCTTGTTTTTTAACTTATCAATGGATCGCTGCCCGTGGAATTTGATTTGATGTCAATATTCATAAACGCGCGGCCGCAATCGAAAGGGTCGGGGAGATGTCATTAAAAACACCCATAAAATTATCAGGGAGCACGTTATAATTACTTTAAAATCTTATTGCAGCGTCGAGGATCTCGTAAATGACGCCGCGATGACACGTATGGGCGGGATACCTGATTCACAAGCGTTCACAAGTGCCCTTCGACAGGTTTTTTTATGAGATGTAGTGTCCAATGTAGGCGGATCAATAAATCTTTTTTTTTTTTTTAAAGAAGATGCGAACAATCATCTGCATATAGTAGTTGTATTCATTTATTAGATGAATGAAATTATATAAAATTGATTTATTATTAGGTAAAAATATATCATGCAGGATACAGCATTAGATAAATTTAGAATAAATAAGCAGTTTTAGAAGATATAAAAATTATATATTAAAAGAAATTAGTTTTAAACTAATTTAAAAGGAAAACATGCAAATAAAAAAAGCAAAGGAGTAGTATGTAATGTTAAGAAACTTTTTTTTTTATCGGAATCATCTCATTACGTTTGTACGGTTGCAATTAGCGTAAGATCACGGTATGGTCGCATTTTATTCGTGCCGAACTGCCACTTTCGTGGACATCGCGAGAAATTTCGACGGATGACTTACGGGACATTGCTACTCCGAAATATTAAAAGTTTCATCTTTTACACGTGTCGGCACTTTACGTTTACGCTTTCCGGAAAGATCCGTCGGCATTTATTACGCGAAGCGGCGAGATTGTCAATAATTCAGATGGACTCATATAAGTGTGCCTTGTCATAAAGCGAGCGGTGCATTTTATAAGCGACCCTCTTTTTAATATTTCAAGCGAGCAAGATCTAAACCTTGTCACTCAGTAATCAGGACTGGAATTTTCCATTAAGAACCAAGTTTCGATAGGTTAAATTAATTTAGATTTGAAAGGATTTAGAACCTCCAAGAATAGGTACTCTGTTTCGTTCTATAAATCGGATAAATTGTTCGTAAAATCGTGTTCGTTAACAGTCCTCAGTTATTCGATTCGATTGCCACGGTCTTTAACGAGCCGCGATGAAAACTGGGTCCGACTGCGTGTTCATCCGTGAAAGACGACGCCACTGATCATGAAAATCGTAAATACGACAGTCGTACTTACTTCTTAGTTGCGCGGTCAACAAGGTGATGCGAGTCGTGCGAAAGTCGACCTCCTTACGAGTGTCCTCGAAACAATATATAGCTTTGCATACTCCACTTGGACTTTGAATTTTCCCGATCGATTGCTTCTGGAAACGATAGAACCTTAAAAATAATTCCTCAGAATGGAAAAATTAACATCATTGAGCGATTTTTAACGCCTCATTTGGCGTACTCGACTCGGACGCGATGCGCGTAACGCGCACCGGAATAAGGAAGCGCTTCCTCTTCCTCGCGCCAGCGCCGCGCCGCGTCGGGGAACGATCGTTGCTAGTCGCGATGAGAAAGAAAGAGAGAGAGACAACTGTGTGCTGTGTGTGCAATAGCAGTTAGAATGCCGTAGCACAAGAGAGGTGTGCGACGAGGGAGGGCCTCTTCATCTCCTCCGCGACGCGCGGCGCGAGAACCCGCGGAAGAGCGAAGAGAAGGAGCGGCGCGCGAGCGAGAGACGTCGGAAGAGCGACAAGGATGCGCTCGCCGCAAGGACGAAGACGGAGCGGCGAAGCGCCGCCGAGGCTCGTGTCGTAGGCTCGACTTGTGTGCTCGCAGCCACAAACTACCCGACCACCACGCAGCACGGATCCACCACGGAAACCTTACCGTAGAGTGGTCTCACCTCGTTACTCCACCCCGCCGCGTGACGCTATTCGAAGACACGGTCCCCTTCGTCCTTGCCGTCCCCTGCAATTCTGCGTGAACCTTTATCGGAACCGTTTGAAATTCGTGGCTTAAAAGAAAGCATCTTTGGAGCGAGCGGACGAGAGAGATCCCGGAAGAATGGAAAACCTCA